CGTACCTCCGCCAGCCCCGCCTGTCCCGCCCCCTCCCGTCCTGAACAGGGCCCCCAGGGCTGTGGGCGAGGGTGTTTTGAGGGGCCTGGGCGGGAGGGAGCTGCACAGCACTCACAGACTTGGAGAGTGGCCCAAGTATTGTATGGTGTTCTGCCACGAATGCGGTAGGTATGCGACGGAAGATTTCAGACAGCTCGAGGCCAGATGCCTTGGGAGATCACGGAAAGGAGCCGAGAATCTAGCTCGCATCAGGCGACACCAGTACCCACGCCGCGAGGGCCCTCCTAAATCGGTCCTCGAGGCGTTGCATGCGCGCGTTTGTGCTGAAGAGATGGCCAAAGCGACTGTGGCGGGGGACCCTGGGGCCCGAGGACCTGCCCTATCGGCTGTGGCTGCGTAGAGAGCTCAGGACGGTGCTCCCACGGTGATTCCTGGCGACTCCTGTCAGCCTGTGGCAAGGCCCCTCGACCCAGAGGACGAGCCAGCAGAGTGGCTTTTCGGCGGCGCGGACGAGGACGATCCGTGCCCGCCAGATTTGGCGCGAGATGCGCCTGAGAATTGAAGCCGATTCCGTGACCTCTTGAACCCCCGGAATGCCCGGAATCTGTTTCACCATTTTAACGCTGGCGTGTTGCCGAGCCACCTGTTAATCGATGGTTTCGTGGTTGATGACCCCCTGGCAGGGTTGGTGGATTCCTTGCGTGCCAGCGTTCTCCGGCAGAGCGTTTCCGGAGCACGCTGGATGAATTTGAAGACGGCTCTCTCGGCACCAGGGTCGTGGTGTTGGTTTCGACTTTCCCCCTGGTGCTGCGATGCCGAGCTGCGAGCTGTGCCGCGTGGACGGCCACACTGCGTAATCCTTACAGCGTAGTCCTCCTCCTCCTCGCCCTCCTCCCCCTCCTCCTCACTCCTCCTCCCTCCTCCTCCTCCTCCTCCTCCTCCTCATCGCTCCTCCTCCTCCTCCTCCTCCTCCTCCTCCTCCTCCTCCTCCTCCTCCTCCTCCTGAGGAGGAACGGCAGGGGGAGGACCAGCTTGGGATGGGGAGAGCTGCGAGTGGTCCGCGGGATCCGCCCTCTCGCGGGCCGCAAGCGCAGGGGCACCAGTCGGCCCGCGCCGAGCCGCGGGTAGAGTTGGGTCGGGCCTGTCCCCCTACAGGCCGATGTTGGACGACAATTGAAAAAATATGGGAAAAAATACTCCGAGATGGTCAAAGGTAGTCGAAACATCGAAAATGGTCAAAAATAGTCGATGTGTTGGCTATGTTTGAACGCTCCTCCTGTAGAGAGACAGGCCCGACGTAAGGCTAGAGGCCTCCCGGATGGGACCGAGTAGATATGTGGTCGGAGGATCGCGCCGCATCGCCGGTGCATCGGCGAGATGCATCGGCGATGCATCACCTGCGTCGGCGACGCATCGGCGACGTCGGCGTGGAGAAAAAGTCCGGCCCCCCATCGAGCCGCATCGCCGATGCACCGGCGATGCATCGGCGATCCTCCGACCCCAACCCCCCCGACCCCAGCTGAAGGCCTGGAGCCCGACCGCGCGAGTCCCGAGCTCCGCGCTCTCCCGGCGGCGGCGGCCGGCCTGCCTCGCGCGCCCCCCCCCCCCCCCGCGGCCACGCCGAAGGCCTCGCCGCGGGGAAGGGCGCCGCCCCTCCCGCGCTCTGCGGGCCTCGCCCATGGGGCCCGGAGCGGGCGCCCCCAGCCCCGGGCCCCCGACGTCACGACGGTTCGCTTCACGGCGCGTGCCCTTTCCAGGTCTCTCCCTTCCTTGAGCAGGGACCGACCGTCCCGGCAATCCGATTGTCGTACCACGAAGTGTTCGTAGAACCCGACAAAGTTCTGCGAACAGAAACAGTATTTTTTTAATGAACCCGATGTGATACCAGAAGACGACAGGCTCCGCCAGAAATGATGAAAGAACATCTCGTGGAAACCACACAAAAGGTTCTTAGAATATTGCTTGGTAGGCCCATCAGCGAGCCAGGACGCTTCGCCACTGCTTGACTTCCCCGGCACCGGCTGCTCCGCCCGGGTCGTCTCTTGACGGCCCCGCGGCCCCGCGAGGGCCCCTGGGAGGCCGAAGACAACGAGAAGCCTCCCCGTCGCGACCTCTCGGGGGCGGCCAGGAGGGGGGCGTCCAGGAGGGGGGGGCGCAGATCATGGCCGGCGGCATGTGCGCGGCCCGGGGGGGGAAGGGCCAGGGACGCTTATGCTGAAATAAGAAGAGGCGCCGTGAGATCTGGGGAAACATCATGGCCCACGCCATGACATCCACCCCCCCCTAGTCATCCCCCCCCCTCTTTGCCGACCCCGAAATTCTCCTGGACGCGAAGGGTTAAGTCGGGCGTCTCCCCCTAGAGGGGGATTTTCGACGAAGCATGAAACATACACCGAAAAATACCCCAAATGCCCCCAAAAATGCTAAGAAATAGTCCCCTGACTATGTTCTGACTCTTTTTGACCATCCCCCCTGCAGAGGGATAGGCCCGACTTCAGCGAAGGGGGGCCGGGCAGTCGCCAAACAGGAGGGCGCCGGCCGCCGTGGCCTGGTGGGCCCACCCCGCGCACGGCCGCGCCAGCTCCCCCTTCTGGGCAGGCCGGCCCGACCTCGGCGGCCGACGGGCTTGTTTTCCACCACCACCACCACCACCACCACCACCACTATAAGTTGGAGGGGGGGGGGCCTCCTCCTCATCGCTCCTCCTCCTTCTCCTCCTCCTCCACCTCCACCTCCTCCTCCTCCTCCTCCTCCTCCTCCTCGTCCTCCTCCTCCTCCTCCTCCTCCTCCTCCTCCTCCTCCTCCTCCTCCTTCCCCCCTCCAACTTATGGTGGTAGTGGTGGAAAACAGGCCCATCAGCGGCGAGCGAAGGGGGGGGGAAGTGCGAAGGGGGCGGGCCTGCTCAGAAGGCTCGGGAGTCCCCCCCCCAGCCTTCTGGGAAGTGTTTCGTCGGCCTTCCCCGAAGACACAGCCGACTTCTCAGAAGGCGCGATGGCTGCTGAGAAGGCCCGCCGCCTGCTGAGAAGGCCTTCTCCTTCTCACTTCCCCACCTCGCTCGCCGCCGACGAAGTTGCCCGAGGGGGGCGCAAGGGAGGGGTCCCTGGAGCCCCCCAGCGGCGCAAGAGAACCTTCGGGCGGAGCAGGATCACCTCGCGGTCAAAGGCGAACTTGTACCTAATGTCCAAAGGGCTGAGGAGCAAGAGGAAGAGAATGATGAGTTGGGAGAGCAGCAGTTGCAGGGAGGAGCGAGTAGGACAGTGGCCGCAGGGAGGTGGGAGAAGAGAGGACGAAGGAGTGAGATCGGAGGACGGGGGATGGAGGGTGAGCGTGACGGAGCAGCCCAGCAGAGCAATCTGACGTTGCCCTCAAAGGCCGGCCCAGTAGTCCGTCGTTTCTGGGTGGACTCCCACTCTGAGCGTAAGTTCGGGCCCGAGGAGCAGAGGAGGAAGAGAAGCGAGAGGGGAGGACGAGGACGAGGGACCGGTGGGCGAAGTACGAGTGAAGAGGAGGGGACGGAGGGAGGGAGGGAGAGAGGGAGGGAGGAGAGGGAGGAGAGGGGAGGAAGGAGGAGTGACGATTGAGACAGCAACGGTGAAACATCAGCGGCCCTCCCCTCCGACCCAGATCCGCTCCGAAGCAGTCCAGACAGACAGTTTATCCGAGCCGCGCATGGCCACGGCGACGAGGGCCTCCTCCCCCCGAAGGCCCACGGAATACCCTTGCCTCAAAGGGCCCTCCTCCGAGGGAGAGAGAAAAGCACCAGGACCCATTTCCCTTCAAGACCCCTCCCCTCCTGGAGGCGATCCCTCCTCCTCCCCCTCCTGGAGGCGATCCCTCCTCCTCCTCCTCCTCCTCCTCCTCCTCCTCCTCCTCCTCCTCCTCCTCCTCCTCCTCCCCCTTCCTCCTCCTCCTCCTCCTCCTCCTCCTCCTCCTCCTCCTTCATCCGTCTCCTCCTCCTCCTCCTCCTCCTCCTCCTTCTCCTCCTCCTCCTTCTCCTCCTCCTCCACCTACTCCTCTTCCGGCTCCGCCTCCTTCTCCTCCTCATCCCCCCCTCTTTCCCTCTCGTGCGTCCTCCATCCCCCGTCCCCAATCCCCCTCACCGTCACCTTCATGTTCCGGCAAGCTTCCACTCTCAAAGTTGGGGGGCGGAAGGGGGGGGGGCAGGCGTGGCGAGGCCCGAAAAGGAGATCTGGACTTCGCGCGAGTCAGAACTCGCTTGCACCACGCCAGTTCGGCCCAGCGCTGCTCGAGAAGGCGGCGGGAGGGGAACGGGAGAGAGGGGCGGGGAGGTGGGGGGGAAACGCCATGCAAGTACAGTAAGGGCTCGACCACAAGAAGCCTTCGACAAGAAGCCCAACCCTGGAACCCCAGGACGTCCATTGATGATTGCCGTGGGGACGTCACGCTTGCCATCGCAAAACCGTCGACACCCAAGAAACCCAGGGCACCCTGGAGGCAAGCAGGCTGTTTCTTCGCATGGGCTTCCACTGTACACCTTCCGGGCGACGAAAAACTAGGCTTCGGGGGACTCGGGTTGGTCTAGCGGTGCCGCCGGGGAGATGACGAGACCTGGCCTATAATTTGACTCCAGCTCACGCTGCAAACATTCCACGAAAGCTGGACCATGGAACTCCGGGACGGGCCCGACCAAAAAGCGTAGGCAAATCTGAGTTCTGCCGAACTCGAGTCTTACAGTCAACCCGTCTAGTCAGGATGCCCGGTAAGGACGCAAGGGTCATGGGCGCCCATGCCGAGGCTCTTCGAGCGGGGCTGGCCATCGGAAGTGGTCGAGGATGGACCGAAGATGACCGACGAGGCAAGGATGCAAGGGCACCTCTGGGAAATCGTCCTCACTACCAGGGTTGACTGCACGTTTCCCCGGAGCTTTCCTGAGTCGACGACGAAACGCCCTTGAGGGAGGCAGGGGAAGCCAGCCTCCCGACGTCGGCAAGGACTGAACGAAGCACGGCCTCCCTCGACTCGCGCCGGAGCTTCCACGA